TTTGCATCTGAACTCTTCATATATTAACACAGTCTCATCCCAAAAAGTCATATAACTGACGTCTTGGGACGTCTTTTGACCATACGTCAATATCCGCCTTTTTAGGGCCCCCTTAAACGTCGGTAGATGGCGATCCCGGGCCGTCATACAACTGACGCTTTACCTTTAACGTCAGTTAGGTTTAGGGTTAGGTTTAGGTCTGGGGTAGAGTTAGGATCCCATAACCTCATCTACCGACGTTTAAGGGGGCCCTAAAAAGGCGAATATTGACGTATGGTCAAAAGACGTCCCAAAACGTCAGTTATATGACGTCTTGGGATGAGACCGGGTTGCATATATACATATATTCCTACAATTTACAATAATTGTCATCAAAACTCTGATGGCACTAACATGTTCATTGACACAGATATTTACTTTTGAGAGATGAACTAAAGATTTTGAGCAAGAGACTGAAGAAATTGTTTTGAGAAATGCACCTACTGTTTTTTAAATGTCAAGGATGATTCGAGAAATGTATCAAAGTACATTTCATCGTATTTAACTTTTGTGAACCAGGCTGGAGGTCGTTTTCCAGAATCCATTACCTGTGTTGAATCACTCTGAATTACAATTCTGTCATTGCAATTCAAAGCACCCCTTGATATTACTGGTGTCGTATGAGACATAAATGCTGTTTAGACCTTCACACACTCACATTTACACATCTGCTAGTTTCCCAACCTTCAGGTCTGTATTTTCCATCCTAAATAATACTTCTCCTTGATGGCGAGAGTGTTTATTCATCCCTTACACACTCGGTAGCATAAATACACACATCAATTCTGGCACGAAGAAAAAGCAATTATCTGAGAGATATTTAAATTTTTCACAAAACTTTCTGATTTGTTTTGCTTTCAGCCTCGTGTGTGTGTGTGTGTGATTGTGTGTGTTTGGTTGTTGATTCTGCGTTTGCCCGGCGGGCACAGGAACTCTGTTCTGGCGGTAAACACCAACAGGAGAAAATGAGCAGGTGCGTGAAGAGCGTCTCGAGCGTCTCTCTGCCTCTTTCATCCTGATCAGCAGACGAGTCCCTGCAGAGAGAAATCAGCCCGTCCAGAAACAGCCCAAAGTGAGCTTCACAGAGACACAGCAGGGAGAGATAAGGACAAATGTCAGTCACGCTCAAACCCTGGCGGAGAGAGTGCACTAGAAACATACTTGCACAGGTGTCAGGTCATCTACTCATCAACTCTTTGGACACCCTTTTTTTCCACAGTTTAGAGTAATAGTAAAGACATTTCATCTTTTGAGTTGTATTTGCCTCTGCAAAACAGTTTCACAGCCTAGGTCTGGACTCTCAATTTCATTCAGGTTCCTCCTTCAGTGTTTGTTGTTGTCCATCTTCGGATGGTGATGGAAAAAAAAAACATGAGATGGGAATTAAAAATGACGTCCTCTCGCAAATGTTTTGCATTCCCCTGAGAAACTTTGTGTTCGCTCAAACAGCTTTCTCGGGGGAACTCAAAAGACATCGGGAGCCAACGCAAGGTTTCTTGAGGGAGCGCCAAATTTTTTGCTAGTGAATGAAATGTTTCCAAGGGGAAGAGAAAGAGCGCAAAAGCATTGAAATATAGAGGAATCATTCAAGTGACATGGAACAAGTTATGTAATAAAGTTACATTTAGGGTTAGAAGGTTTATTTGAGAACACACCCACAATATTAATATAGTGATGCTAACACACCAATGTTAGTAAGGATTTTTGTTCACTTTTGCTGATAATTTCCTCACCCCCATGTCATCCAAGATATCCATGTCTTTCTTTCTTCAGTCGAAAAGAAATTAAGGTTTTTGATGAAAACATTCCAGGATTTTTCTCCATATAATGGACTTCAATGGGGACCAAACGGTTCAAGGTCCAAAAGACGCTTTCAGTGCAAACTGCAAACTGTTCAAAGGGCTTTAAACGATTTTAGACGATAAATAAGGGTCTTATCAAACGAAACGATTGCTTATTTAAAAAATAAATAACAAAGTTTAAGTTTTGTAAGCTCAAATGGTCGGCTTGCTCTGTTCTGTGATGCGCATTGAGCGTTCGTGACTCTCCTTTTTGAACCCGTTTATCAAAATGAACGAATCTTTTTCCGAGTCAATTCGTTCATTTCGTTCGTTGAATGAACCAAATGACACGAAAAAAGATTTTTTTGCCACTGTTTTGACTCCTTTACGCATTTTTGAAGTGGTAAAAATACCGACATACGTGCGCACATACATTTTCCCAGCTAAAGTTCCGCCGCAACATACGTCATAAAAGCTGATTTCAGTGTTTAAACATTAACATTAGTGATCTACAGGATAAGTAATATAAAATATTTGTCCTTCATTTTACATTCATCAACTTTTCCCCTTTTTTCTGTGTATTATTTCCACTACTTTTGGTCCTGAATCAGTGTTGCAGTCGAGACCACCTCACTCGAGTCCGAGTCGACACCAAGACCAGAGAGAGTCGAGTCCGAGTCGAGTCTGAGACCAGAGACGGTCGAGTCCGAGTCGAGACCGAGACCAGTGAGGGTTGATTACCTAATTTACTTAGAGAAATCCTTTTTTTTTTTTACTGAATTTAATTAGAGTTTAAAAAATATGATCAGTTTAGGGTAAAAAGGCCACATAGTAGGTGGTGTTAAAAGTAATTATATTACAATTTGTCATGCGCAGTTGCGCACTAGAAAATCACCAATCACAGGGCGTGTCAATCAATTCAAAGAAATATTTTATTAACATACATTAATAATCATGAAAAATATTTTGAATTGAACTCGAGTGGACTCGGGAATAAGTCCGAGTCCTAAAAAAAAAAATGTTCGAGTACGAGTCAATTCCGAGTCCAAATGGACACGAGTCCATGACAAGACCAAGACCATTAAAATATGGTCTCGAGACCGAGTCCGAGACGAGTCCGAGTCTCGAGTACTACAACACTGTCCTGAATGTATGTGTGCTCTCATGCAGGATTTTGTATGTTCTGAGCTCGACGAATTTTTGAAACGGGATACAACAATATGCTCTCTAACAAGCACAGCGTGATGACAATATGACCATATTGAGAAATATTATCACATATACAAGAGTATGTGTGTGTGTTTAGACGCCTGAACCTGTGGGATCGCGTGTGTGTGTGTGTGTGTTTTGAGGTGACAGTATGACTAAATACAGTAATCTGAGGTTTTAGTTTGACAGCTGGGATTTGGGTTACCCTTTCTAGATGTAAATAGATAAAATGCATAGGGAAGTGTGCATGCATGCGTGAGTGATATCGTGGGCGCAGCGTTTGTCACAGCTGGAGAGCGTGAGCAGCTGATTGGTTGATTTTTCCCCCCTGCTGAGCCAATGAGAGGGTGATATTTTTACCCTATTCCCACCAGACGAGCTCTCAGCAGCCTCCAGGTACACCGCTGCGACACACATTTACACACGATCTCACACACTAACACACACGCCATGTGTCTCACTCGCCTGATTGACACACTAAAGTGTTAATGCATCAGATGCGTATGCAAAGAGCTTGAAATGTGAAGGCTTGAGCAACAGTGGTGATGACTTCTCATCTTTTGTGTTGGGAAATATGCATCTCTGTTGTAAAACCTAGTGAGCCGCCTAACTAGGCAGCATTTTAAGGCATCATTGACTTGACTTTTCCAAACTGTGGGCATTTTAATGATACCACCCTGTAAGAAACCTCATTTTGGACAAATTCTACTGCGCTGCACCAGATAGAAGCTATCTAAGAATTCTAAAGCAACTGCCATGTGATTGGTCGATTAGATAATTGCACTAATGAGAAATTGAAGTGTTCCTAATAAGTGTAGATAATAATAATAAATATTTCTTGAGCAGCAGATCGTCATATTAGAGTGATTTCTGAAGTATCATGTGACACAAAAGACTGGAGTTATGATGCTGAAAATTCAGCTTTGCATCACAGGATTATATTACATTTTAAAATGTCTTTAAATAGAAATCAGTTTCACAATATTACGTTTTTTGCTGTATTTTAGATCAAATCAATGCAGCCTTGGTAAAGAAGAGACTTTAAAAAAAACATAAGACTTTTAGACACTAAAACTTTTCAACAGTAGTGTGTATATAGACCATTTCACAAGATGTAAACAACACTGGTCCAGAAGCACTTCCTGTTTCAGTTTTTTAACACTACATAAAAGCTGGGATAAAATACAACCAACAGAACATATAAAACTGAATCAAAAAGTTAAACAAACTTCTTTAAGATGTTTTCTTTACATGTGAAATAAAGAAAACAGTTACAAACTGAAACAGGAAGTGTTTCTGGACCAGTGTTGTTTATATCTTGTGAAATGGTCTATAGCCTACTGTGTGACTGTGTGTGTATAAGACAAGGTTGCATTTATTTGATCAAAAAATATTTACTTTATTTCATTTATTTACTCTATTGCATCTTTTCTGTAAAATACATGCATTTTATGTTCTGTTCAAAACATGCAGATCCTCCTTTGACAAAAAAAAAAAAAAAAAAAATGTGTGAGAAAATGACAGATGGTAATAATTGCTTTTATTCTGTGAAGTGCTCAGGAGAACTCTTCGGCATAAGTATTTTTTTACAGTCTATGGTAATAAACCAGCAGCCACTTCCTGTTTCCACCTCAATGTTTCTTGAGATATTAGCTTGCCTTTTTTGTGATTAAACACCGTGTCTAAAAATATCCTCACTTTTGCCCGCTTGCAATTCCCTTTTAATGTCTCCACAATGTTCTTTTTCTAAAATGTGAGCTATCGTTTTGCAAAATTGCTCAAGCTCTGAGTCAGTGTTGCCCTGAGGAGTTAGCTTTGAAGCTAATTAAAACGTTTGATATTTTCAGAAGCACAGGCGGGGTGAATGCATACAGGGCAGGACGTCCTGATATTACATGTCCCCGAGCAGCCCGTCAGGTGTAGCTGTGTGGATTTCACTCATTTCACTAACGTATTTCTGTCTACGTGCAGGTGGAATGGCTGAAGAACGAAGAGATCATCGATCCTGCAGACGATCGGAATTTCTACATCACCATCGATCATAACCTGATCATCAAACAGGCACGGCTTTCCGACACCGCCAACTACACATGCGTCGCTAAGAACATCGTTGCTAAGAGGCGTAGCACCACGGCTACCGTGATCGTCTATGGTGAGTATGGCGTTCATGCATCTGGTTTGAAGGGTTAGTTCACCCAAAAATTAAAATTCTGTCAGTATTTACTCACCCTCATGTTATTCCAACCCCGTAAGACCTTCGTTCATCTTCGGAACACAAATTAAGATATTTAAGATATTAAGATCGCTCCTGCATACAGTCCATAGGCTTCTTGAGTGAATGACTCTTGCTGGCATCGAAAAGTCATTAAAGACATCGTTAAAATAGTCCAAGTGACTACAGGGGCTCAATCTTAAGGCCCGTACACACCGGGACGAATATCAGCGCCGCGTTATTCGTCAGCGTTTTTCAACGCGTTTTTTGTGTTCACACCCAAGCGTTTTTCGCTGACGATGAGCCGAGTGAACATGCAAATTCATTCCCTGATTAGATGGCGCTTAATGTAAAACAGAAATAATGATAGAATACTATACTAGGGTGATCATGTCTCAATGTTTTATTATGACAGATAAAAAAAACACGAATGAAATAATGATAGAAATAATGTCTTCTGTATTAGAAAAATAAATATATAAATAATAAATAACTAAAAGAAATGCCTCCAAATGTAACAAAAAAATAGCTCTCACAAACTTACAAAAACGAACTAACAAAATCTATTTATATCTTTAGTTTTCATTCTCTTTATCCTGTTTTTCTTCCTCGTCCACCTTGTTTGCCCATCTATATTTTGCTGTAGAACTGATCTTTCCCAGCTGTTTTTTTTTTTTTTTTGAAAACCAGGACATTTTCATCACTTAAAAACAGCCAGGACAGGATGTGGAAACAGGACATGTGTAACACAAAGTTGAGATGTTGCCCAGAGATAAAAACATAGCCGTTGTCGGATGAACAGATGCACGAGAGACGAGAGTTGTCGTATTTCCCCACGTTTAATAAAACCACTCAAACGTCCTCATACATGGGGATCGAGCGAGAAAAAACACAAACAAACATCTGGTCACAATAGAAAAATAAAAGAAAGAATACAAAGAGTCGGCAGAGCGGTTCTCCTCTCCTCACTTGTCAAAATCTACTGACACAACACTATGCGCAGTTCTCATCTCAACTCAGATTTCTGTAAAGCACAAAGTGACCGTTTTACACATGTCCCGGGAAAACAGGACTGTTGGTCACCCTATACTATACTATTATTACAGAAATACTAATATAAATATGATCTTATAGCTCTTTATGCTCCGAGACCAGCAGCTCAACATTCATCTTGCCCATTGGTATCTTATCTCTTCTTCGCTGTATGTGTGCTCGGCAAGACCGTTTTGTGTTTGAGCGCCCCCAAGTTGTGTTTTACTGTAACTTCAGAAGTACCAGACACGTGAGCAAACCCGCCAATCTCGTTGGTCGGATAGGTTTTGACGCGGCGCGTCAAACCAAAAAAACGAACCCGAGGCGTTTTTTTAAAAATGGCGCTTTTACGCGTGGCGTTTTTCGCGTCGGTGTGCATTCTCACATTGGCGCCCATTGTTTAGTCACGAGGCGTTAAACGTCGACGAATATCGTGCGCGAAATTCGTCCCAGTGTGAACAGGCCTTTAAGTTTATCAAACGACGAGAACACTTTTGTGCGCAAAAAACAACAAAAATAAGGACTTTATTTCAACTACTCGTTTATTTCTCCCTCTGCGCGAGTCAGGTTACTAGTTTAATAGCGTAAGCTTCTGTTATTGTACGTCACACGCATCACACACACATGACCAGCGTCGGCCAATAGCGAGCCTACGTGTGACGTAGCTTTACGCAATCACACTACGTTAACTGACTACAGGCCCATGGAGAAGGAAGTGAGTAGTTGAAATAAAGTCGTTATTTTTGTTTGTTTTTGCGCACAAAAAGTGTTCTCGTCGTTTGATAAAGTTAAAATTGAGCCACTGTAGTCACTTGGACTATTTTAACGATGTCTTTAATGACTTTGAGGACAGCAAGAGTCATTCCCTCAAGAAGCCTATGGACTAGTATGTAGGAGCGATCTTAATATCTTAAATATCTTAATTTGTGTTGCAAAGATGAACGAAGGTCTTACGGGGTTGGAACAACATGAGGGTGAGTAAATACTGACAGAATTTTCATTTTTGGGTGAACTAACCCTTTAAATGTGCTGAGATGCACTGAAGGTTTCAACAGAGATAAAGTGTCTCGGTTCGTTTAGTGAAGAACTACGAGCCTGAGAGTGAAAATCTCATTGAAATGAGGTGAAGACTGAAAGGAACAAGTCTAGTAACCTTTATTTATACAGCGATCATCAATTATTAAATCAGTTAATTTCATCTATAAAGCAGTTCTGCAGATAAACTGTGGTGTTGTCGTCCAGCTCAGTTCAGTTCTCATACAACAGTCTCAGTACAGTCAGATCAATAATATTGTTGAATATTTAGTGTTTCCAACTAAGCAAGCCACAGGCGATTGTGGCAAAGAACCAAAACTCCATTGATGACAGAATTGAGGAAAACTTTGGGAGAAACCAGGCTCATGCAGGAAGCCAACACATCAACACAGTGTGATTATGATTATGATTCATGCAGCATCACAAGTCAGAATTCAAATTGTGTGTTTGTAGCATTTAGATAGTCATCCAGTTCCTTTTGCTTTCCGAGGTTTTCACTGTGGATTGTCTTGTAGACACGGTCTCTGCTGACATTCAGGGCTGCGTTGTGGTCGTGTTTAGGTGCAGGTCCATCATCTGATCTGGATACGGCCCGGATCTGGCTGAGTTTATCATGCGTTGTGGTCGTGTTTAGGTGCAGGTCCACCATCTGATCTGGATACGGCCTGGATCTGGCTGAGTTTATCATGTGTTGTGGTCGTGTTTAGGTGCAGGTCCACCATCTGATCTGTGTAGGGCCCAAATCCGGCTGACTAAATCATGCGTTGTGGTCGTGTTTAGGTGCAGGTGCACCATACGGCCCAGATACGGCTGACAGAGAGACTAATATTAGCATAGATGCCATTCTTCTTACATTCTAACAAGTACATCAGGAAGTGTTCCCGGTTCCCGGCTGACCTAGTTTAGTTAATCATCAATCTAGTTAATCATTTAACCGATGTGAATTATAGAAATGTGTGTATGCCAGGTTAAAGAGATTAAAAAGTGTTTTTTGTCTGTATTATAGAATGGTCTACTAGGCTTTTAAAACTTAGGGTTCATAAGTTATTTAATAATTAATTAATATAAGCTGTGAAATAAATGTACAAATGAATTGATTTACATAAAAATAATATTAAATTGATTCTTATAGCAAAATAAATTCATATTTAATTTTAAAATTACTAAAAAATAATAAAAATATATATATAAATTGGAAATAAAATCAATGGAAACAAAACAGAAATATCGTATTTGTTTTCCTGCATGTAACTGTAAATATGTAAATATTTATTTAATATTTAAATAACTAATTTAATATTTTAAATAATTTAAATATTAACCTAAAACTTTGATATACACTTCACACATTTTATGTTCTCAACCACACGTATGGATTTTTGATGTTTCATTTGTCTAGTTTTATTTATTAATTTTTATATAAATTTATTTTTAATTAAATATAAATATATTTTGTAGCATTTATCAATTTAATATTATTTTAATTTAAATGTATTTATTTTTCACATTGATTTTACAGTTTTAATGTTGGGATCATATACAGAATCACATACAGAATTTCTTTTCACCTTTTTTGTTACTTTTGTGACATTTGCATTTGTGACATTGGCAACGTAACATGCTATCTGTTTCTGATGCAGAAAAGTTAGTTCATGCATTATTAATTCTATAATTAAATTGCTTTTAACTTTTGACTATCTGCATATATGTCACCAGGATGGTCCTGACATTACAAGGTCAAACAAGAAATTAAACATTTAACATTATGCACAGATTGAATGTTCACAATAAAATCTATAATTTGCGTTTAGAAAATATATAGAATTTTATTTTTTATTTTTTTATTTTTTTAAAAGGGGGAAAAATATTTTTGTAACCAGTGACTTATGAGCAATCGAGGATTTTTTTTTTTTTTTTTTTGTTCTTGGGCAGACTTGACCACGGTCAATTGGGAGAAGAGCTTTCATAAAATTAATTAAAAAGTTTCCAGCTTGTAATTATAAGTTTGGCGAAGACATGAATAAACCTTTTTTACAGTCTGGAAACTCATAATTACTGTAATTTCGACATGGTGTGAACGCATCATTACAGTGCTTGCAACATTTTTCTTTTCAGTTCTTTTTACCACCTTTCAGCAATTAATTTAACAAAAAACTGCTTGTACAAACTCCATTCAAATGTTGTTTTGTATTTTATTTTCTTATATGTGCTATCCTTGCTTTTGCCATTATATCTATTATATTTATAAAAAAAAAAATCTATTTGACTTAACCCTCCCTAAAACCTGACGAGACCTGACGAGAAGTGAAAAACATCATTCAGATTTGATATGAGTTTTACTTTAAGTATATTTTTGTAGCACATATAAAATTATAGCTTGATCTCCTGAGGTGGATGAATGAGAGTCAAGCCTTCATTTAAAGTACTTTCACCTCTTTTTCTATGCTCTTTCCTTCCATTGTACTCGATGTTCTTCATAATACCAGCTCCAGCTGTGATAAACTGCTATATGGTGTGCTGAAATGTGTTTTTAGTGGTGATTCATAGTCCAAGTTCATGGACAGAACTATATAATGTGTGATAATGTGTTCTTTCATGAAGTTGTGTGAACAACACACGGTATGCGTCAGGTCAGAACGGTAATTATGAGATTAAGGTGTTTACATGCCTGTTTATTGCGATTATTTCAATTTATTTTGGGTCAACTTACGTTTCACCCTGTCGACATACTGAGGTGCAACTTATTTTCTAGAAAATAAGGTAAATAATAAAATTGTGCAGTACTAAAATAATAAGGGCATAACAGATGAGACTTTTTGCACCAGTAAAAAAAAAATGATCGTGATTTTAATGGTAAAAGACTGTAAAAATGC